GTTGTGTAATTAACTTGTTTTATATTTTACTGTTATAGTTCACGGTAAGGATCTTTGGAAAGACATTAAAGACCAAAGAGTACCAGTGAAACTTTGTTCGTAATTTTTTGAAGTCTAGTAGTGCACATATATATATATATATAGAAAGATATATATACCTATATATATAGAAAGATATATATACCTATATATAAATATACATATACATACCTATAACAATATTCATACACAAATTATTGATATGGTGTACCCAGCTGAGATGTTTATTAATTAGGATTTCAAGAAAGGTTATTGTCTCTGCTTTCTATTGGCTTGTCGTTAGGCTTAACATACTGAAGATTTAGTTTGTCTAGTATGAAACACAAATATAATTTATTTTATCCAGATTTACAGGAGTATGTTACATTGAAACCATGTATTATTTTATTCAGTTCTTATTCATTATGTTGACAAGTTGATTAACATTATTACCTTGATATTAAGCATTTGTAATTGTATTTTCTGCAAAAGTGAAAATATGGACCTTCTTACTAACTTTAGTACATATATCATTTATAAAAATAAGAAATAAAAGAGGCCCTAATACGGAGCCTTGTGGTACACCAAGAATCGCAATTGTTTACAGTGACGTATTGCTTTCTATTATTTAAGTAGGCCTACGGTAGCTTTTAATCCAATTTTGAGAGATGCCTCTTACTGTATTACGTAAGATTCATGAATGTTGCGATAAGGTGCTGGACTCGTGATTCTCAAAACCATCGAGACCGTTAGCCTAAAAGTCAGTTAATCAATCACTGAATGTTCTGTCCAAATCAGGCCCATAGGGAGGGGAAGGGAGTACCTTAAATTTCAAAAGGTCCACTTTTTAACTAACGTTATTATTACACTTGATCCCAATTATGATCGCTAAATGCTATACATTGCATTTTATTTGCCCATTTTGCTAACCGTTGATTTTAAAAACTGTGGTACGAAATTTGTTGGAATTAATTGATCAGGCTCCGGTGATTGCAGATTGATCCATTAAACAAAAAGCTATGTTATAATAATGTAGGCCTAATGGACATACAGTACAACTTTACTTCCAGGTCACTAACACCTAACATAAACGGAAATTTAAATAGAATTTTCACGAATTATGTGTTTCCCAGTTTCCTAAAATGCTACTTTGTAGGATGATCGAAGCTTCTGGTGGGGATTCGCCCCGTGTCTCCCACAGGGATAATGGTATGGCAAGCCTGCTCATGACTGACGCACGACGTGGGCCTTTCTTTGCATTCAACTTCATTTATCTTTAATACTCATTATATCTACTTTTCAGTCTAGGAGGTCGGCTTTCCCCACCAGTAACAGAATGAAGGAATTTCTTAATTTGAATTTACTGTTAATCGACACGCCTCATGCGTTTATTGTTGAAGGGGCGTTTATTCGAGGGAGGAGTTTTTTTTCATTTTTTTTTTTTTTTGGTGTCAATTTGATAAAGGCCTACTCAAATAAATTCCATTTAATTTCAATGTAAATGTGGAACTTTCCCTTAATACTGTCAAAATGTGTTATTGCGGGATCATAAATACTTATAGATCCCCGATCAGGTTAGAAAAAAAAAATGTAATTCTACTGAGAACAACATTAAGGGAATGTGTTAAGAATGACGTTGCTTCCATTAGACTTGTTATTTAGGGGAGCATTTATTTGAGGGGGACGTTTCTTCCAAATGAGGCTCTAGATGAAGCGTTCATTCGAGGGGCGTCTATTCGCATGATTTAGGCAGCAGTAATCTTTTCAATTATGCTTTATATTGTACATTTTATATATTTATAAATTCAAAAACGAATTAGTTTTATATATAAAAGAACTCTGAATCTCAATTTAGCAGGAATATCTTGTACTGCACTGTATCATCAATCTTCTTTGTATTACATATACATTTTATTTATTGTTACACATGATTTGTTACTGGTAGGCCATGAGAGGACAGATTATTGACAAGTTGCTGGAAATGATCAACCAGTATGTTTAATATATTTGTATTCACTCTTTGTCATTAACAACAATTGCCCTATACATGTATACATCCCAAGGTCTTAGCTACGGCCACCCACGTGATATTCTTATACAGTACCAATGTAAAATTGTTAATTTTCTCCCAATACATTGTGACTCTATACACTAGTCTAGGCCTATAACAAACTCAGAATATTTTCTTACATTTATATATGATTAACACTCTTAATTTTAAACCTACTAAATGTTAGGCAAGTACAAATTTTGACATGTAGAAAAACATTTGTTACATATTTTACCAATGATTTAACAAGCAGAAGAAAGTTTATCTAATGAAAGAATAAAAACATAAACTATATAAAAGTAGATAACAAATATCAGTCACTGCTGAGGTTCTATTCGTCTTTGAGAGGATTACAAAATCTTCTAATAATAGTGGGGCCTTGATTAATACTCTAATTGGACATTTATAAGGTACCAGTGTTTGCTTCGATCACTCTCTCGTAATCATGTAAGGTCTAGTTAACAATAGTCACATTATACTTTATTTTTAAATACATTTATAAGACATTGTTGTCTTCATAGATACACACTATGGGACCAATTGAGACACAGTGAGAAATAAAGAAAAATATATAAAGATGCAAGAACAGAAACTGGCAAAATTAATTGGTGTAACAGGTGAAACGCTAAAACTTGTTCACAGTGTATTTTGAAAATACCCTAGCTAGTCTTCATTAAACACTGAAATTATTATTTAACTGTTTTAATCATCTGGTCTTCCTAAGCTTGATTCATGTAATTATCTGCAGTAAAATGTTTCAGTCACCTGAACCCTTTAATCTGCTATAGCTCCTCAGTTTAGTAAAAAAAAAAAGAGTTAAAACTTTAAAGGATTCGTTCATCAAATCGCTTGACTTTTCACCTTCATTTTTTTCCCAACTGATGATTTATACACCTTTATAAAGAATATGAAATCGAACTTTATTGTACTCTCAATTCCATGAACAAAATTAAACCAATTTAAATTCCTTTAATTTTGTACAGAACCCAAGTAAATATGTTCAGTGATCAAAAAATATAAAGAATGCACATTCTGAACAAATGTTCTGATATACATAAATATCCTTGATATATACAGTACATTACTATTAATTATTCAAACATTTTTTAAAACAATTATTTGCTAATGTTTTACGACACAAATGAATTCTGCAACTGATACTCATTTGCAGTTAAATACCATAAAACCTTGAATTGAAGCCCTGGGCTTCTTTTTTTTTGCGAACTTTGGATGGGCTTCTTTTCGAGACTACTTTTGCAAAGTGAAAAAGGGGGGCTTCTTTTCAAAATTAATGCTGTAAATTTTGTGAATTTGTACTATAAAACAATAAACAAGGCCACTGTAACATCAATCTGTATCATGGAGTGTATTTAAGTGGCATTATTAAATCACCTAAACAACTGTATAAACCAAGCTTGTATTTAATTTATTTTGTTTTCTGAAATTCATGTAGAGTGTATGTACTGTACTCTCGAAAAGAAGCCTATGCTATCTTGAAAAGAAACCCATGGGTGTCTTTTCAAGACAGGCTTCTTTTCGAGGCTAATTTTGCGAACATACTGTGGTGAGCGTAAAAGACTGAGCAGTCAACTCTGTCAAAGCCTGCAACAAAGAAAAGTCAAACAGAAAACCTGGTCTAAGAGTAAAGGTCAGAAAGTCTTGTTGCGAAAACCAATGGATCTGTCCGCTAAGCCCCGCCCCTTGGATATTGTTGCTAAGGTCCACAAAACGAAAGTGTAAAAACATACGGAAACACATGTGTTTGTGGGACAACACGTGTGTTTAGAGGACACGCTCATATTCCTGGTTGGTCAGTTGTTAAGTCTGACTGGCACTCCGCAAAGGTCTGCTGCATGTCCTTCCCTGAAACTGTTTCTATAAAACTGTAAAAACCGATATTTTCGCCAACATTTGGGCTATTGTTTGCTTTTGGGAGAAAGATATCATTAACCTTGACTATTCAACCATGAAGAATCAAGTTGATCCAAATAGGTACTTCATTGCCTTATACAATATATATACAGCACCAGTTATGTAAAGATACTTTTCCCGTTGGCGGCGCTGTTGATTTTCATTCTCTAATTCTAATATTCTCTGGGAAATTTGCAAAATCTGGTGATGTAATCTATCAGTATCGATACTGGCATCCTGTACAAGGCCGTCAACACTTCTGCAAAATAAATTAAATCAATAAAAATGATATCACATTTTCCTGAAGAACAAAAAAATGGTAGTATAAAAATAAAGCAAACTCAATAATATATTTGACAAATCTGGTAGTCATAATAATTGAGGTACCCCACTCTAATAATGTAATAAAGTTAGAAAGAAAATTTCCTTTAATATTGATCACTTCTATCAGGTGTCCACTAGAGCTAAGACACTTACGGTACTAGCCTGCTTTGCTTCTCATCCAATGGTTTAGACTTGGTTCTGGTTTCACCGGCAGTTGGGAAGTTGAATTCTTCCAAGGTTAATGTACGAGGTGGTGTTGTTAAACCAACTGTTGTGTGTACTATAAAATAAATATGAAATGGAGCAATAATGATGTAACCACAATCATCACATCCGCAAAACCTCAATAATATGGCAGTACTTTTTTATTGATTGGATTTATTTGGTGTAAACACCAAGGATAGCCCACGAAAGTCTAGAAGAAGACTTATTTCCAGTGGGGTCCTTCTAGTGGTGATTGGGCAGTACACAGGGAGACAATCCCCTAGTCTTTTCCAAAGAGTGTATTGCGTTCTCTAACATGGAAATGGGTCATAAATGCACACGGCAGGCTGGGAAAAACTTTTTTCCAACCATGAAAAATTATCTAGATCAACTGCCTCCAGGACGAAATGTTATCTTCACACTATTATAGCAAAACAATTCATTCAGTGTTCTACTAGTCAAGTAAAAATATTATATTTATGTGTTAAACTGTGATGTGCAAAAAAAAAAAAAAAATTTTTTTCTAAAATGCCTCTGGGTTAAAGGTCAATACCTCTGACCATCAGTCGCGCTCCAGCCTTGGCACACAGGACTAATGATTTAAACGTTTCATCCGAAAGACGGTGCACTGTTGTAGCTTGTATTTCAGCCCTCCAGCTGAAACACAAGGAGAGGCAGCGATGAGAATTGAACCAGGGGCCTAGGGAACTCCATGGTTCAGCACACACACACCGTGTCTACCACCAGATTAGACGACTGAGCTAAGCTGCTCTCTCTTATGAACTGCATAAATCTAATTAAAGTGAAAGCGGACCAATGCGATTCTGTCTTAAACCAAGTTGGATATGAGTTATTCTGTAGGCAAGTTAATCATGGAAAAAATAAGGAAACTGAAGCGATAGAATTTTTATGCACTTGCTTAATTAAAATACAAGAGGCTTGCATTGTCTAAGAGCATACTTGTAATAAGTGTACACTGTATTATGAAGAAACCTTATTAATAGTACTGTTATTATTGTACCTGGATTTGGTGTAATTGCATCAAAATCTATGTTTGGTGGAGGCCGCTTCATGCCCATATGTTCATCTGAACCTGTTTAGAGGAATGCAAGTTAGACAAGGTCAGCTGTCCATAATCAATAACGTTACATTTTTATATACTTGCAAATTTGGGAGGTTTGTGAATTACACATACATGAGAAAATGAAAAATACTATACTGAAAGAAATCAGAATTTTCAATGATTTATTTACTGAATCCACAGCTAGTCATTCAACGGCAAACTTGTTGGCGGTTTCCCAGCTCCCGGAATATTCAGCAGTACTGTATTTTAAAGTATTCTGATTTTGGTGGATGGGAGTCCATTCAAATTTCAATTACAGTATATTATATGCCAAACGTCTATAGACTATTTTAGTCTTACACTTATATTTGACAGAAACCTTACATTTAATTACAAATTTTTTTTTCTCTCTTAACAAAAACAATCAAGGCCTTAATTTTTGGATCATAATTTTTGAAAAACAGCTGATAGCTAAAATTTTTACCTGCCATGACGATTCGTTCAGGTACTTCCATTCCAGTGTGACGGTGGTCGTTTACCACATCGTATACATTCATTGAATCATCACCTGCCCCCATACTAAGTCTGTCCGGTATTCGCATTTTGGTGTTTATCTCTTCACTGAAATCCGCACTATACTGATGATCCAAGTCATCAAAAGAACTGGACATGGACAAGTCCACACTTGTATTCATTATGCTTTTGTATTCACAATCTGGAAAGAGCAGATGATCTACTCTGATTATTTAGAGTTTACCAATGTCATTACCTGGCAACTGTTAAAATGTCTACCACACACCCTTAGTTTTCTACAGATACAACCCTGTTTAAGGAAGGTGCATTATCTATCTTTGGATCTTTCAATCCAGTAGTGCAGTGGCATACCTAGGAGAGTCTTGAAATGGAGGACTGATGGGGATGCAAAGATGGAGTGGAGTCCTTGATGATTTGGTGAGGGGGTGTTAGATCGCAAAATACAGTGATTTCAGGTGATATTTAGCTACTTGGGAGTGATTTTTGGGGCGGGGCAACTTGAGCTGTCTCTTATACACGGTGGGGGGGGGGGCATGCCCTGATAGAGAATACACTGTAGTAACATTGTCTAGTATGTGATTTAATTATTGTATGATCTGTGTGGAACATAATAGATAACCTAAGAAAGTCTAAACACTAATTGCCAGTGGAGTACACTCTGGTGGTAATTGGGCAGTACACCAGGAGACAATCACCCTGTTTAGTTTAGTCCATTGAGCAATGTCAGGACCGCTATGTAGTCTAAATCCTGATGGTTCTGTGACCAGAAGGCTTCATCACCTGGACCACTACCAGGACCCTGGTGTTCCAGCTGTGTGCTCACAAACGGCACCAGTCCTACAGTACCCTTAAAGCTGCTGTGCACACAATGCAGTGGAGCCATGGTAACAGGCCAAAACAACAAAAAACCAAAACGGAAATGGACCAAAACGGCAATAAGTTAAAACGTTAAGACCAAAACGGCAACACTTCCAGAATGATAAAACTCAAATAAAATTAACAGACCATTCTTATTCAATATTTGTTTTGGTATATTAGTTCAGTTTATTTCTCATCATCAAAACATTGTACAAAACAAATAAAATTCGCACAAGGCAGTACAAAAAAATATTACAATAAAAGATGATGCAAGGATGGTCTATGAAAGTTTTCTTTAAGAAGTAAACTTAATTCCAATGACAATGTGGCACTACATTAAACTAATTATAAACATGAATTGAAAGTGTACAACGATAAATACGGTGAAAATGGGCTAAATTGTCAAAGAAGTAAAAAACAAGAAAGAACAACATTAATAATAATAATAATAATAATAATAGTATAACATGCAAATTCAATAATAAAAAGATTGGAGGAATCACAATATAAAAGGATTAAATATTTAAATATTTAAAATACAGACAAAATGAGGCTAAACAATTTATGTCATAAAAGTAAAAATGCGCGAAAGAAAAAAAAACTCTTTAAAGAATAACAACATTAATAATAATAATAAACAACAACAACAACAACAGCAACAACAACAATAATAATAATAATAAAAATGATAATAGTAAAAAAACGGGAAAGAAAAAAAAACAATAATAGTAATAAATAACACTTTAAAATAATGAAATAATTTGTCATGGATGTGTAAAATTAAAACAAAACAATGCAAAAAAACAAAACAAAAAAAAACAATTCAGAAAATTATAAACTGCTGCCCACGCCCAGTGGCGCTTCAGTCTTGGTATTGATTTTTGCTCCTTTGCCGTTTTGGTAGTTGACATTGCCATTTTGGTCTGTTGCCGTTTTGGTACTTATCATTGCCGTTTTGCCGTTTTGGTTTATTGCCGTTTTGGTCATTGTCATTTTTGGTTTTTTTGCCGTTTTGTCCAGAAAGCATTGCCACCGGCTGGGTGGTAAAAAAAGTTTTACTCTTATTATGCCAGCCAATACATGTTCTGCTTTTTAACCATGATGAGTCATGTGAGCATCGGCAGGTTGAAATATTTTTACATCAGGCTTTGGCTGGCTGAGGCTCAAACAGTTTCCTAGAGGCCCAAACAAGTCTTAGGTCTAGGATCGGAGTACCGTCGCGCCTTGCCTAGCCCCTAGTCAGCTAGACCTTAATAAGTTATAATTATATAGGCCTAGGCCTAGGCTAGAGTCTAGGGCCTAGCCTGCCCAACAAGCCCTTACCGACCTCTCATCAGATTTTTCTTCTATTGTTAAACGAAGTACTATACCCACCATAAAATAGAACAATTATATCATATTATTTTAAGAAGATATTATGGTAGAGGCTTAGGCCTAGATACCTACCTTTGTCAATTTTTTTAACCGGTAGTCACTCGACAAGGACGAAAAACGGCGAAAGCTCAATCTCTGTACTGGATGATGAATGAACGAAAATGTGAACCGTAATTGTAGATCGTCGCCAATGAAAGAGTCTGTTTTACTCAATACTTATTATTATTTCTATTCTTCGAATATTTCATATTAGATTTTTAATATATATAAGTATTGAATCGAATCTTGATTGTAGAATTTTCAATGTAAAACCAAGATCCACAGATAGTAGAAAAAAACTTAGCAGTACGTATACTCGTTGTTGGTTTTAAATTAAAATTTCTCATCCAATATTTATCCTCACCATCCTCTCATCTCATCATCTCATCCTCCTCGTCATCATCATCGTTATCATCATCATATCATCATGATGATCATCTGATCTAACGATGTTTAGGATTCCCTTAATTAATACTTAATCAATTTTATATTCTGTATATTCTCGACTTTCATGAAAATGAATAACTTTGCGATTGGAAGAGGGGTGTGGTACCCATTACTCACCCACCCCAGATGACACACTTTCCTATTACCCAGGATACGTTCCTAACAACTCACTCCTAGAATAAACTGGGTCGCCTTGATACCAATTATTTTACTTCTATTGCAATGCATTGCTGTTTGAATTTTTTTTAGTAAGATAAAAAGGCGAGACTGATAAAAGAAATATATAGCTAAAGGACGTTCGAATAACATTAATTTTTTATTTCATTTTCATACCAAGAGATATTAAAACCTCGATTAAAAGTTGTTTAGATATTATCATTATACACAAAAAGTATCAATCTTGATTAGATTTTTAACTAAGTTCCGTTCATTGAATTACATATAAACCAAGTATAAATAAATTTACTAGCATATAGGCCTAGTAAAGATATTTGTGTTGCTTTATATTTCTACATCTTCGTTCTTATAAGCATTCAATAACTCAATTCAATGATTGAATTCTTTTTTTTTGGCGGTGTGAGTGATATATCATGGAATATTTCAGAATCAGAAACAGAAAAAAACTGTATTATTTCTAAAAGAAGAATTGCTTTGCTCAATAAAATACATTTATGAAATAAAAAATAAATACTATACAATACAACGGTACATTACATAATCATCAGATATTTTAAACGGATCAACAATATCATCATGATTCCAGTTATCAATATTACTTCTAGTTATGAAATATCCATAGAGCTATTAAATATCTTTATGACTGTACTTGTGAGGGCGTTCTATTTTTGCAGATTTGTTAACAAATCATAGAGCAAAATGGCGGAAGGCAATGAAATATCGCCTGAACAAACTGAGCAATTAATTCAGTTCCAGGTAGGTTATTAGAGCTAATTGAACACTTAGTTGCTTATTACATTTGTATGTTTACATAAGGACTGTAGTTGTCGTTAGTGTTGCCGTGTACAGTATATAAATAGGCCTTTTATGCTAGGCCTACATCCGTTTGCAGTTTAGCTTAGGCCTAGGCTAGGGGGGCCTAGGCCTAGCCCTCTTACTTAGGCCTAGTCTTACTCTTAGCAGTTTAGTTAGCGACGGCTGACGGCGTTACCCGTTTTACTGTTGTAAGACCGCACCACTGACTATGAGTGCCACCGATACAAAGATGAAGTGTCACAAATAAATAAATAATAATATTATTATTAATAAGTCCTTCCTAGCTAGGCCTATATACTGTACCACCTGCTGAGCTTGACTCTCCGTCCGGTAGTTAAACTAGGCGAGTAGCCTAGACGAGGCCCTTTTCCAGCTGCAGTACTCCTACTTTCTAGACCCTAGCTTTTAGCCGAGGCCTCTGGTAAAAGCAGCCACACTCATGCTTTCTCTATCAATGCAACCAGTTGATTTTGAAAAGAAAAAAATAGGGAGGACGGAATTGACGCTTCTCTTTGACGCTTCAGACCAAACTGTTGTTGTTGTTTTTGTGAAAAAAGGCCTGCGTGGTGAATATATCCTCCGCACAAAGTTAGGCCTAGAAATCAGCCGTGCATGTTGGAAAATATGTGCTGAAATTAAGCATGGCTTATTAGGCCTATTTCTTAATATATAACCAAATTGGCAATGTATGCAGTGATTATGATTCTGCACACCTATTTTCCTAACGACTTTACGCGCAAATTGATTGAATTTCAATGTTAAGAGGCACAATTTATTTACCAGGCCTGCCCAGGCCTGTATGATAATATAATATAGCCCATCAATTCATCATAGGGTAGGAGGGAATTTAGGCAAGACCTATAATTAAAATGACCTAGACACATACTGTAACTAAAATTTAATAGATTCTAGGCAAGATATTATTGTGAACTGTAACAATAATGTGAGTTTTTTTCAGGACTTAACTGGAATTGAAGACATGGACAAATGCCGGCAGATTCTGGAACGGCACAGTTGGAATATAGAGGTCAGTGAAATACTGTATAATTGAAAAGAAATAAACAAAATGTGTAGGAGTCAGCTGGAAATGGTTTGGGGCAGCGGGAATGGTTTTGTGTCCCAACCTTGAGGTCGGGGTTTCAATCAGTCTTGCTGTGAATTTTGATTGTGTCCTTGAGCAAGGCACTTTTATGTGTTGCTTCTTTCCACCCAGGTGTATAAATGGGTACCTTGTGCACCAATGTAGCAGCATGTTGACCCATTGACCACTACGGGGAAAACAAAAGTTTTTTGTACAGTAACCTAATAGGATGGCGCTATATAAATACCAAATAACAAAAAACGATTAAACTGAATTAGCCTTCGGAGGGTGGCTCGCTCAAAACCTAATGGAGAATATCAATAAATATAATGGAGATTATTGAATTAGATTCTTTCCAGTATTCTCTGTGAAATACGTCAAGGATATCATTGGAAGGCTTCACCAGCGGGGTCCTTCTGATGGTGAATTTGGCAGTAGGCCTACAACTGAAGACAGACTTCAATGCGTACCAAAATGTTTTTGATTTACAGGATTTCCTGTGTGTTTCACGTTATCAAAATAGAATAGTAATCATGTGGCTTGAAGTGGGATGACAACAAAACAAGGGGTTTTTTTGCCCAAGATAGTTTGTAAATGCATAGTGGCTGTTGTTGCACCAGCTATAATCCAATACATAATTTCAAATAACATAGAAGAATTTACACTTGTTTAACAACAGCTTCTGCCTTAAGTTCTAGCACTATATAGGAACAACATTTTTTAAATATTATATTTCATTAATCTTCGTAGATGGCAGTGCAAGATACATTCAATGAATCTGAGGGAAGACCATCAGTTTTTGTTGATCAAGCTAGAGAACGGAGAAGAGAGGTTGAGCCTATAGTAAATGCAAATCCTGTAGATCAAAGGTATATCTCAGTGAATAAAGTTATAATAATAATAATAATAATAATAATAATAGTAATAAGATCTATAAAGCGCACAAATCCACTGCAGTAGTGCTCAAGGCGCTACAGAAAGGAAGCAAAAATTACCATGGACCTAAAGCTACAAGAAAAGAAACACCACACCATCACCGCACCATTTACAGGCAATTTAAGGCACAGGGGCCCGCCTATTCATTACTCACAGGTGCTCAAGTAATGGGAGTATCAAACTAAAACAAATAAGCAAGCGAGCAAAACAAACCAGAGAACTAGGAAAAAGCAGCCGACAGCAGATGCGTCCTGCAAGCTTTTTTGAACAAAGCAGTAGACTGACATGAGCGAATATTTATTGGCAGTTTATTCCAACAGCAAATGATCGAAATGATGTTATTAGGTTTATAGAGCGTCAAAGAATAGCACTCTAAACAGATCCTCATTAAAAATAATCAGTTGCGCAAGCGTGGTGGCTTTGCGTTCTCCATAGAGTTGTGACGACGTCGAACGCATTGAGTGTCTGGCCTAAGTCACATCATTTAGTGTATTGAGTAGAATTGTTTTAGTCATAAGAAAAAAAATCTTGGTCTCTTTCTTATTCTTATTCTTTTATTGCCAAAACAAGACGGTCAAAAAACAATCCACTGGGTGGTCGGAACATAATCACTATTACATTAAGTATGAAGTCCTTTGTCTAACAGATTTTAACACATTGCATTTGAAGGCAAGCATTGTAAACACCATGCTAATAGATTTAACAGTACATAATAAAATATGTTCACTCTTCGTCTGTTCTTACTTTTTTTTGTATAAAAATCAGATATTGACATTTAAAAGCAATAAAATGGCAGATAGACAAGTAATTTGTAGAAATGTACAGAAAATTAAGAATGATATAAACAGCAAACATTATGTTCAAATAAAACCTAATGTACTTCAATATATTCTAATTATTTATTGTTTTGATTTACAGAATTTTTACAATATCCAGGCCGCAACCTGTTACTTCTTGGTCTCAGTGGTGTATGATGTTAATATTCTCCCCCTTTCGGTTTACATTCTCCACAATCTTTGGTATATTCCACTGGATAAAGCGACTTGTGTGGCCTGATCCACGCCGCCTTGTCGTTGATCCTGTTGGTGATGTCATGTCTTTTATTGTTCGTTATGAAGAAACTTATGGTGCAGTGCATCCAACTTTTTATCAAGGAAGTTATAGTCAGGTAAAGAGGAACTGCTGTGTTTGAATTTTTCTAGTACATCCTGTTATGCTGATGTGATGAATGCCAAAACATGAGTGTTTTCATAATTTCCTTTCCTTTTCTTTTGTTTGACTAATTAACCTGTTTACACTTTTGTCTTATTTTACAGTACACTAAAACGTCCATTTTCCGAACCTCCATTTTACAAATAGTTGATTTTACGAATGGTCCTGATGACGTCATCATCGACCAATTATTACCATAAAAGAAGTCTGATTGTGCACGTTTTACAAAGTGATAATGTATAAAATCAAGTTTGTTGTATTTATATAGTAATACAGTAGTTTGATATTTTCTTCCATTTCTGGTACAATAATCACTATAGTAATGTAATAAACCTAACCAGAACAACAAACTACCAATGCAAGTGTCGTCGGATTGAGCGCACATGAGTTTGGGGTCAGAAATTTTATTGACATCGTGAATGCTAGTTATGATCGCGAAATACATGTAAACAACACAATTCGTTGATCTAACAACTAGAAAGAACACTATAGAAAGGTCCATAAAATATACAGATGTTTGAATAAGAGTTCAAAATAATATTTTGTTAAGTGGAAGAATAGTTTGTTTTTTATCGAAGGTAAATTCAGTTAGGCTCTAGCGCAGTAGACCACGCTGCTGCACTGTCGGTTGGTGCTAGGCCTGGCCGCCGTCAGCCTATCGGTGCTCAATGGCAAAGGATAGCTAGGCCTAGGTAATGAAAACTGACACCCGATCTAGTTTACAAATTTTTCAATGTACGAACACCACTTGGTACCAAGGTGACGTAAAATGGACGTTTTACTGTATTTTATTTATGTGTATCTCATTTAATAGATCTATATACTCTAACTGCAATCCGTATTTTAATATCCCATTATGAACATAATGTATCCATTGATTATTATACTTCCACAAGTTAACATCAATAATCATCTCTGTTATATAATGGAATAAAAAGGTTTTCAATGATTAAAAAATTACTACAGCTCCATGAAAATGAATGATTATGATTGTTATTATCACTGTATAAATGAAGTTACTAAAACTTGTTCTTGAAAAATACTTGTTACAGCTATGTATTTTATTTATTTTTATTGTAGTCTAATAGCTATGAATATGAATCCTTAATTCATAATCAGAACTAAGTTTAACTCATGTGCTAACTTCGCCATAGTATGGGATGAGTTATAGGGTAAGGCTTTTTAAAAATGGTTAATGCAGGCTGAAAAATGTCTCCCCCCCCCATGTCTTAACTTGGATGTAAAAATAATTAAAGCCATGATAAAAGGTCATTATATCCACTATCATGCATGGGCACAGTGCCCTCTTGCTTCTACTGCTTCTAATTCCCACATAACTCATCAGGAAACAAAGTTAATTACTTAGCATCAAATATGTTTTAAATTTTATTTCAGGCCATTAATGATGCAAAGAGAGAATTAAAGTTCTTGTTAGTTTACCTGCATAGTGATGAGCATCAGGACACACCTGTATATTGTAGGTGAGTGAACAGGGGTTTTTTTGCCTTATTTGGCATGCAAAATCAGAATCATTTATATTTATCATGTCATTTTGCCATTGAAAATTAAACTTATTTTTTTTTTATGCACAAAAATGATATCAAGTTTAAAAAATAAAATGAATTTTTTGCTATGACTCAATTTTTGTGATTAGATGTAGAATATACGTAACTAGTCTTCCATACAGTTGAATTATCATTGTTCTTGTAGAGAAACCTTAGGCAACACAGATGTATGTGAATTTATCAATACTCGAATGTTATTCTGGGCAGCGTCTGTAGAAACGCCTGAAGGATACAGAGGTAAGGCCAAAGATTCCACAGTATTTAAATATTATGGAGGTGAATATTTTAGCTTAACTTTGTTTATTTTGTTGTAGTTTAAGGTATAGTTTGAAGGGACCATCAAAGGTATATCGTTTTTTAGTTAACACTAGTTTGCATGACATATTAGTATTTAAAAAACTACTTACTTACAAATAAATTGACATACTTTGTTTGGATAAATGCTATATATGATTAATTATATACATTTTATGTGATTTTAGTGTCTTTAACACTAAGGGAGAACACTTACCCATTCTTAGCGGTCATTGTACAACGAGACAGCCGGATGACCGTTGTTGCTCGTATAGAAGGACCAATCAAGGCCCAAGATTTGATCCAGCGATTAACACGTATAATGAATGAGACAGAAGGCTACTTGGTGGCAGCGCGACACGACCGAGAAGAGCGGCGTTTCACGCAGACTCTGCGTCAACAACAGGATCAAGCTTATGAAGAGTCTTTGAAAGCTGATCAAGAGAAAGTATGTATATAATGTATATCCATTATATAAAAGGATCTGTACATGATCCCTAGTGTAGAATATATATATGTGGACTTTTTGGCAATCCCATCCACTGGTGGTCTGTCTCTGAACTATTTTTATGTATGTGCTAGAATTTGTCTTAAAGACTAAATATATTAAATGAGAAAGTTACATGCTGTGTGATAGCTAATCACAAGATAAAGAATGCAATTTGGCCCATGTGCATGTTGTTAAAGAATGAAAGAATGTAGTACACTCTTCAGAAAAGAGTATGGTATTGTCTGTCGATATACTGCCCAGTCACCACCAAAAAGACCCTGCTAGAAGTAAGTCTTCTGATTGTTGTGGGGTTATCCTTGAATACATCCAATCCGGTCTGACACATCATCCAGATATTCTAATTCAAGCTCACCACTTTACCATGATGCAGGATCCACATTTTTCGAGTAGAACAGCTAATCTGGTCACTCTTAGACAGCCGCTGATTAAACAAATGCTTAATGTTTATTGCAAGAACACTACCAATATGTATTTTGCAGGTTAGAAAAAGGAAAGAGGAAGATGATAAGAAAAGAATGGAAGAAGAACATGCACAGAGGTTGGCAGATGAGAAAGAAAGAAAACTTCAGGTAATTCTGTTAATTTTTTTCAAAGCAACGGAAGTGTTGAAAACCAGATGAAACTATATAACCATTGTTGTAATAATATTTCATAAGTGTTTTAATTTTTTGTCATTTAAGGAGAGAGACGATTTGAAACGTCAAAAACTAGAGAATTTAGCCCGTGAGGTGGATGAACATGATCCTAACGCAGTTAAAATAGTTTTTAAGATGCCCAATGGTACTCGCTTAGAAAGGTGCTTTCTCAACTCTCAATCACTAGAAGTAAGTATGGTTATGTAGTGCTGTACAGTAAACTAGCCCCTTCTTTGCCTGCACATGTTATATTTATAATGAAACATTTCTGATTTAAGCATGTAAGAATTTGTTGTAAGACTTTAAAGTACATACTACAATTTTCAGTGTTTTAGTTAATTGTTATTAATGTTAGTTCATAATTACTTCATATTTATTTTCAAGGTGGTGTACGATTATATATTTGTTCAAGATGATGTTCCTAACGAATTCCAAATAGTTACAAATTATCCTCGTCGTGTTCTACAATGTCAGAGCACTGCGGACATGCCTGTAGTTCAGACGTTGGTCGAGGCAGGACTTCAGAGACGGGAGATGTTGTATATACAAGACGTCAGTGATTGAAAAACTTAAAACTGGATTTATTAACCACAACCAATTTGTATTTTGAGTAAGAGGAAAGTTCCGTTGTGACATCAAACAAAGCTAGATCAAATTTTAGCAATTTCTAGTTGAAGTATATTGATGTACTTGGAGATTGTGCATGTATAGCTTGCCTTCTCCTGATAGTGTGAGGAAATATAGCATGCAAATTTACTCTATTTGAAAACTAAATCATCAATTTGCCACATGCAAAAAATTCATTATATTATTTCACAGGAGGTCTGCTTAAAGAAATGTGAATCCACATAGTCTTAAAAATTAATGCATTTATTTGTTTATATCAACAATAATTGCAGAGAATTCTGCTTCCATTCAATTGAACATTCAGGTTAGTAGAGACATTACAGATAGGTTGCTAAATTAATTATTAAAAATCTTTATTATAATGATAATTATAATTAGTAATTTATATACAATTACTATTCAAACAACATGGTAAAGTAACAGTCTTCTAGTAATTAACAAGTAATTATTTTAATGATTGTTTAAAAAAAAATATGGCAATTGTTGAGCATTCTGTCACTAGAGGTGTTTTATGTTAGTATATTATTGTTATTAATTAGGAATTACAGACATGTGTTATCATTAGGTGATATCACATTATTAGACACAAACTTAATTGGTTAGCTCTCTTCTAGGTCTTGGCTAGAAGCAAACTTAAATGACTTAACCCAAAGAGTATAGAATTGCAAGATGTCCGAATGCCTTGATTTTGTATGCACGCAATGAAACGTTAAATAAAAGTACTCCCACAAGATAGGGGTTGCCCTATTGGAATTTTAATAGAGTTCGCTCGAAACTCTGCTTTTAAGGACACGACCCTTTGTGGTGGTACTTTTTGAAATAGAGTTACGTTCTAATAAAGCCACCTTAGCCTATTAACTAACCTGTTCATATACTCTCTCCTCTAGTTCTTGGCAAGAAGCAAAACATAGGCCAGGCCAGGCCAGGCCAGGCGAATCCCAGGCCAGGCTAGGCTAGGCTTGGCTTGGCTTGGCTAGGCTATGCTGGGCTGGGCTGGGCTGGGCTGCAATCTGTTCATATATAGTCTGCTCCATTTTAACTCAAGTCAACCTCATTATTTTACATTTTTTATTTTGATATACTGACTGAACCTAAACATTTTTTTAATTGCATATTAAAGAATGTTTGCTGATTATTATTAACTATAAATTTATTGTAATCAACTTAACACATCTTAATAGGCCTCTCAATTTCCTCAGCATGTATTTCGGTAAGGAATTGATGATGTTAATGATGGCCATTATTGGTTATAAAATATCTTCTATAGTGGATAAATAATGTAATGATTATTCATAAAGAAAATTATTACTTGTTTTTAGTACTACAACTAATCAGTTGGCCTAACTTAACCTTCCCTTCATTAAGTGATGATAAAGTGGCTCACTCTAATCCAAATTTCAGTAAAATTTTTCTCAAAGCACTATCATTATTGAAGTCCATTGTGTGATATTGTAAATCTTAAAAATATGCATTATTTATTATAAATATGTATCATTTTTATTATTATAGGAAACTATAAAATACTAGCAACCGTCTTTGTTGGTGCTTGTATTTGTTAATATGTGTATTTATTATAAATTGATATCACTACATTGGGTGTAAACAAATGTATATGATATCATAGTTTGAATTATTTTCTACCTTTTAAATTTAAACTGAAGATATTTTAATGTGTTTTAAAGTGTTCCATTCGTTATAGCTCAGTTTAACTTGAAAACTGTATTAGTTATACTGTACTTTTATTGAAGAATGCATATCCATCTTGGTCAGTGGTGTTGTGATCTACCAAAAATAATGATGAAAATGTGACATTACTTCAATGTCAGGCAGCAGAAGCTATATGAGACAAAACCTATTATATGTTAATATTATCCCTAACCAGATGAGCCAAACCAGCACAAAGTGCCACTATTCACTACTTCCTGGCAAACATAATATGCACAACCAATTATCATTTAACACATTCAACCATAAATCCATTTATACTGGTTTGTGGAGAAAAAGAATTTTATGACAGCATTATTTTGTTACGACAATAAAGTTTAACATACTGTATATATACTGTCTCTTATACACATCTAGATGTGTATAAGAGACAGATATATACTGTACATTTATATACTGTATATACATATAGCGCTATGTTAAAATATAGCATACCTTTAATGTACATTGATAATGCATGAAGTCTTAACTACGATATTATCTTGCTTATACAGTCAATTACCTTGAATACGACAATAGAATTGAGTATGAATATTCTGTATAACATAAACATATTTCAGTGTTGTACTCTACCTGTTGCTATGCATGATGTAATCCCACCTCATATCATATGTGCCAGTGGTAATCTAGGGGTAGAATACCAGAGCTAACAAATTCAAGGACATTGGTCAAATAAATATTGTAAGATTCCGGGAAAATAATTCTTTATCAGATTTGAAATACCTAATACTCTATATTTAATTGATGTGTAGTTCATGGAACAGATTGAATCTGAACAGAAAATTTAGAGTGAACTTATAAATGATGTAGAAAATATGTGTATACAGAATAGAGATATTTCATACCAACTGATGCAACTGATTCGTTTGAAGAGTTGCTGATGGAATAAGATTATGAAATTTAGAAAAACTATATCGTGCAAACTTCTCCAGTACCATTTCAGTTGTCACTAAAGTGTGTTTATAATTTAATAACCTCTTGCCAATTATTAATACTGAAAGAATATTGGTATAAGATACCTTTTCAGAGTCTATGGTTGATCTTAAAGTAGGATTTTGTTGTCTTGTACTAATATTCAGAGTAACAAACAACATCCATGCTATCATTAAAAAGAATAATTATTTACATTGTAACCAATCAGTTACAGTATTCTGCATTTGAAGAACTTACATGTATTTAATCGAGGGGTGGGGTATATATAGTAAAAGGTATTAATAAGCAATTACTGTAAAGTTTTTCCAAAACTGTTGGAAAGTAAGAACCCGAAGCAGACATTATTTCCTTAAAAATTTGACTGAAGGCCAATTCTATATATTTTTGCATATTTGTATATGCTTTTTTTTATTAGTTTGGTTGTTGTCTTGTGTTGCCATTGTTTTAAATATTTTATGTGTTCTTATTTTTATTATGTCTTGTATAGATGCATTATTTTTAATTTGTCTGTAAGCACATCATTGGCTTTATAAAGCACCTTATCAGGGATGCAAAGTGCTCAAAGAAAGTGAATAATGAGGAATAGAAATGACTATTTTGTGATACAGCCAGAACGGACAAGATGAGTTGTAAGGAGTGTTAAATGTGCTTCTCCCAATCATTGATGCAGTTTCAAAATGCTTTATTTCAACATGGGTTGCATGATTTTTGCTGGGTCGAAATTAAAATTGTGAGAGAACAACTTTACATTAACCATGAATATATAAATATGGATTTTAGGTCAGCATTTCCCATTTTACCAGACAAAATAAATATAGTTAGAGTGGGATATTTATGAACAAATCTGCCTATACTGTATTACTAAAAACAATTCGCTATTGTGTAGCACAAGCATTTATTTTTGTCTTTGTTATGATCTGTGGAGTTAATACATTGAATTTTAGGTTATTTTTTGTAGGGAGTTGCTTCCAGTTTGTCATGAGTTAGAGTGTATATTTTTACGAAGAGCAGCTCTATTTGGCTAGATTCAACTCTAAAAGTATCACTTATGATTAATCGATTCATGTAACGTTGTTCTTGCGCACAATAATAATTCTAATAAAAATCTGTAATTCATGTTTAAATTGTTAATGGCAATTGGCGTTTGTATGGTAGTTTTATTGTTTGTTTTTTTCCACACTTCATGGAAGTCGCTGATGATGATGATGATGATCGGGGTAATAAAGATAACAATGACGATACTGGTGGTGATAAATGGTTGGGATGGGAATCATGCGGTATTTGCCAGGGTCGTATTCGGAATTGCCATTGTTGTGGGTTGCAAAAATCTATCAACTGTGATATAAAGTGTGCTAGAACCATTAGGCGTGTTAACAGGCAGAATATGGTGGATTGCAGCTTTGAATTTTCATTTAATTTTCCTATGGCAACTGCAATGCCCAAATACTGGCCTAACGATTGATTGCTGGTTAAAATGTACAGTTATTTGATTTCCTTTTAATTTTCATTAGAGGGTGTAGGGGAGGGAATGCGCACACATTGCAACCCCTGGATACGGGCCTGTTTGAATTGCTTAAATGCGCCAATACAAATTATATAAAAAAAAAAAACAGGACAAAGAAATATACAGGGTCCTTTCGTCAATTTGCGACGACTCTTTATGCTTTTCAAAGTTTAAAATCTTATACTATACTGTTTTAATTAATTAATTTTAATATAATTCATGTCGATGTTCGAAGTTCCTCCAATACATTTTCCTCAAGTTGTCATAAAAAAACCAAACTCCTAAAACGTGATTGGGAAATAGAATTTTAATATACAGTAAACAAATTATATTCAATTTTATTTTTCACGGTAAGCGCCTTCAAGAAAAGACTCTTTTCAACAATCCACAATTATAGCTCACTTTAGATCTGCAAGTATAGCCTATAGGTCTCCGTGGTATGATGAGTATGATACTCGCATTCATAGTGAGAGTTTGCAGGTTCGAATCCCGCCAGAAACTGTTTTTTGATATAATGAAACTTTTCGTTGATGAGCTATGCTTGATACGATTATTATATCATGTTCATATGTTCTTATTCGAGTACCGTTGTTATTTATCTATTTGATTATATATGTATATACATATATATTTTTATATATGTAATATAATATAATATATAATATAGATAAAGATAGCAATTAACACTGTTAAATTATATATAAATTAAGAAAGGTAAATACAGTGTTTGAATAAAGGACATGGTGTTACATCGTGCAAGGTAATTCAACAAAAGGACGCACATCTCGGGACATCAAAGGTTATAACTCTGGCATCGACAATCTAGGCGCACGTGCGTCCCTACACGCTGAACGTCACAAAAACCATAGCAACCAGACCATAAACCGTCAGCGTACGTGACGATTTACCCACGCGCGTGTTAGTTGCCATGTTAGTCGCGCGTCGTGCGGTGATTACAAAGGCCTAATGATATTTTGCACTAACATTAGACTGAAATATATTCCTCATTTCAACATTAATTTTACCAAAATTGTGGTGAATTGTCGTTCATGAGACTCACTTCGCAGAAAAAAATAATAAATGTTCCGTATATACTCAAATGTTCGTCCTCGGCACCTTATGCCAACATTGTCAAAATGACAGATTAATGTTACATAAGAACATGAAATTTTATAAAATTCGAAAATTTTGAATTGCTATAACTTTTCATTTTCTTGGTCAATTTTCACAAATCAAATTACAATTTATAGAAGCATTTAACAAGCTCGCGGTAAAAAAAAATCAAATGTAACAGACATTGCGAAGTACCCAAAATTAATAAAATAAAAACTAACACCATAAAACGAATGGCACGCATAGACTAATAATTGACGGCTGAACTCGCAACTAGTATCGGATTGTCGATGTAACAGTAAAGATCAAAGGACTGTACGCACGCGCTATGTTCGAGAGCGGAGATGTGCGTCCTTTTGTTGAATTACCTTGCATCGTGTAGCACAACATTCGGTGAGGACTATGCTACACGATGAACCATAATGTCCTTTATTCGAACACTGTATTTAATTTTGATGATTTATATATATATATATATATATATATATATATAGGCTACATATATTTTTGTTTACTCTTGAAGCGTAAGATAAATTATTATTATGATACAGTACTACTTCAATATAATATAGGCCTAACACTATGTCATATGTATATAATCAAAATTCTGTTATTCAATAATCAATCAGGTCTAAAGGTATTTCATTCAATTATTATAAGGCATAATATTTATTATATTTATCAATAAGTGGCCATCAACATAATTATAGAGGGCGCAAATATTTTACTATATAATAATGATGGTGAAATAAGAATAATAATACATTAGGTTCATTTGAAGTCATAACTGCACACAAAATTAAATATTAAACTTATATAGGAACTAGTATATAAAATAGATATATAGTAATAATTATTTAAAATTTACCATAAAGAACGGATATAAATAATTAAATTATAAATATAAATAAGAAATAATAATAATAATAATTTTAATAATTTGTTACACTTTAGTAAATAGTAAAATCACAGAAATCATGAAACTATACTACATTTTCAAACATTTGACACAAATAAGAAATACTACCGAAAATGTTAAATTGATATCAGATAAGTTATTTGACGATTAAATGATAAATACAGTAACCAACCGTTATAAGTTAATATTAACATAAAAGTATTTACATTCAGTTTTTAACGGATTAAGCGCCTTTTTCCCATGAATTTCAGGAATCATAACGCAAGCAAGTTCACCGACTGGGAATTGCCTTCGTGTGCCAATGTTTAAGGCTATGGAACGATCTTACCCTACATTCAGAACATGAAACGGACGGATCGTCTGTGCCTATGGAACCACAGAAAATTAGTTAATTTTCATACGACCAATGTCGACAAATTCCTGTTTTATTCCAACAACCTTTTCTTTGGTATTCTGATTTACATTAAATTTCTTCATAGACGAACGTTAATAAATGCATTACAAAAATTCCACGAAGTCATAAATAGTACTTTAAAATAGAATTCATAGAGGACATTGCTTTTTTTATGCATCGTTTCTGTCAGTTACAGCCTACTTAGTCAATTTAGTGATGTTGGAACATAACACAATATTTATACAAATTACAAATAACCCATCTATAACTATATTAACCTAGCCAGCGATGAGGGCGTATCCCCATACTTCGGTTTGGGTGCTGGCATGGTATTTAAATTTCACTTCTTTTTTATTTTGTGGTTTTGGTTTCCGTTCCATCTTTACACTTGCCTGATAGCGCTTAGAGACTTTTTGTATTTTGCGCTCTATAAATTAATAACCATTAACCATTAACCATTGTATTTCAAAATGTTGATCTGTTTATAAGTAGGTACACCAAGTAAGAATGTTATACACACCTGTAATACATGCATTTATACGTTATATTCCTGGCCTCGCTTATTAATGCTGTCTATCAATCAAGAATTTAGAAAAACAGCTGTTCATCTTTGATCAAGCCTCTATATAAATACTTAGCTTTTTTTTGCCTTCAATGTTTGGCCTTTACTTATCAAACCATGAACAACAAACCGCATACCTCATAGCAAATTATGAAGTCAGAATAATCTACAATATGATAGTCAATTTTCTTTAGTCAAACATAGGCTTATAAAGATGATCTAATAATTTATCTAACGTATAAAGTTACAATATGCATCATACATAATTGCATAAATTGGTACGGTACCATGAAAAAATATATATGTGAAGCGCATAGGAGCCTTGGCTGAATCAGATACGTTAAATAAATAGAAACAGGCCTATTGATATTGCTATATAGTGTATTATACTTTCATTGTCTTTAATCATGCAGAAATGCATTTTTATTTCATCCAAAATTACTCAAACTACTGCTCGAAACTGATATCAATGGATTCGGTTATACTGTAATGTCGAGACCAAACAAATGGTATAGATTCGCCTTAAACCTGTTTTCCATAAAATCGCTACAATGTTACAGCAATTTCACTGAATTCGTTGCACTGCGTAGCTCCATTCGCCACGACCACTGAGCGTCGCCGAAATGCGTCTGCTATAGCGTGTAGTGATTTTATGGCAACCTAGGTTAAGGGAATCACCCTTATTAAATTATAAAAGGCCTATGCTGCAAAAAATAGACAGACGCATTGAAACAACTTTTATATGAATGCTTATACTAGTTAGGCCTATTTCTCGTCATCGGGACGCTCAACAAATCCATTCAACACAAGATCACGTCGTAACTTTTGTATTTCTCCAACTAGCAGAAACAAATTGTTCTCCACGATATCCATTCGATCACTCATTTTTGGAGCTGAACCACGAGAACCGCCAAACCCTTCTCCAGTTTTGCCCTCGACTGCATCATCAATTTTCTGCATGATTTCATAACGTAAACTTGATATATCGTATTTAATTTCGTCCAATTCACCTGAAAAAAAATGTTTAGATGTATATGATAAGCCTGGTTTTCAAAAGATTGCTACATCGTCACTACTATAGCGTTTCCACCGAAAACGGTGAACTGTGTAGGCCTATGTTGTCCCCGTCGCCCTCCTGATTCTACCGTACCGACTAATCAGCGTCGAGGAAATAAGTCGGCGGCAGTAGCAATTTTATGGAAACCTCACCTCAGAATGTTCTGTGCATGATCTAGGCTATGTGATTGCATGTAAGATCTGAGGGATGGCATGGGAGGCATCTCCCTTCCCTCTAGTGGCGTCTTGAGCATATTTCACCCTGAAAATGCCAAGGGTCTAGGGCCCTTTTCGCGCCCTCCTAAAGGAGACAGGACATTTAGTTATTTTTCATGGACCTACCTTCGCCAACTTCGTCAGTGTCTTTGTCCCTTTGGAGTCGAAATAAGTATCGTTTTACGATCCCCTTCAGGACATCCTGTTGTTTGTAAAAAAAAAAAAAAAAAATCAAATATTGTGATATGAAAATCAGCAAATCAGCAATGTGGATCAAAATGTTCGACATCTAGAATGCAAACCTCGGAAAATGGTGCCACCACCACCACCACCATCATCATCATCATCATCGTCATCATCATCATCATCTTTCAAGATATTCACGATGAATACGACATCATCGTCATTATTATTTTTATTATCTTATTAATGAATAATGACTTATTTTACCTCATTCTCCTGTGCAGACGTAGGCATGCTGGCGCGTGTTGAAATATTGAACAGTCCAAGTGTGCTTAACATCTGTTATAAGATATAAGAAAGGGTTTGTAATGTTCAAGCGATACGATTATCAAAATAGTTTAAAAAAATGTACTTCTCTGTGAGCTTATGAAGAATCGAATTCACTTAGTTTAATTGCTTTAATACATATTGACATGGGGAGCTGATATGGGTGCGGTGAAAAGTGAAATTTGTGGAGGGGGTCGATGATTAAGTGAAGGAAGAGCTAACTGGCAAAAAGGGTGGAATGATGTGGCTTAGAACCATTCGAGCGTAAGCTTTGGCTTTAACTGTACTGTTAACAGTCATTGTACGAACTCCCAGTGGGGGAGGTTAGGGTGCAGCGCCACGGGACACAAACTCTCCAGTACATACACCACTGCAGTGGAGTCGAGAGCCAGATAAGGGCCCCGGGGCAACACCTCACATGCCCCCCCCCCCCCTTCAGTTGGGACCCCCACTCGGCCGCTCCCCAAATTAAGTCTCCTCCTAAGACCCTATTTGTCCAAACCCACATACATGAATATGATTCCATGTGATTATTTTTTTGCAATGTAGATGTATCAGAATAATCTGATGAATAAACGATAATAATTATATATATAATACACGTAGGGCCTATATACATACCACTTTGCATGCAATGAGAGGTAAATATAAAATCAATCATAAAGATTAAGATCAGTATCATATTTTCATCTTGGTCCGGGCCCCCCAGTAGACCCGGGCCCCGGGGCAACGACCTCCCTGACCCCCCCCCCCTCTCGACGCCACTGCGCCACTGATGTGGTGTGAAAATAATTTTCAAGCCAAATGGATTCATATTTAACCGTGTGCCGTTCCTAAATGCCTACATTCTGAAATTGGCAAGTGATCGATTGGGAAATTCCCGTGATAATCAAATTATAGGCTTAATCAAAACTGGATTGTTTCGATACGTGTCTCTTTTGATGCTTTTAACTGAGAAAGATCAATGTTTTCCTGTTTTGTTTTTTGTTTTTGTTTTTTTTTTGTGGGGGGGGGGGGTGGTGGGGTAAGCAGAGTTACCAACCTGAAAGATTTGAAATGCATAACTACACCAGCTGTTTTTAATTAAGCCACATACAATTTGAGTTTCAATGTACATTTTAATTTGAGCACCCGAACTATGTACACAAACATTTAATTACTTTAAAAAAAATGAATAGGCACACTGATCAATTTTTAGTAACTCGTCAATGAATGAAGTATTCACGTAAATACTGTCTAATGACTCACGTTACTGCATGACCGTTTTTATATTTAAAAAAAAAACAACAATTTCTTCTAATTTTAAATACAGTACCGTACATTTTTTGTTATCACGCATAGACCTGTGCTAAATGCGTAACAAATTTTATGATCACGCATGTGTTTCTGCTGTACGAAGCTAGGGACATGGTAAATTTTTTTTATTTTCCTAACTCGTACGTACGCTTAAGGCGTACGCACGCCTTATTAAGTCGTACGTACGTCTTATAAGTCGTACGTACCGTACGCCTTATGGGTTATTATTAAGGCGTACGTACTCTTGCAAAATGCGTTTCAACCAAAATCACTTTGAATTGCGGAACTGTCCCGCACGATGCTAGTCGGTTGATAACTAGGCCTATAAGCACAAGAACAGTGTCGATGACCTACCGTTTCACTTCCGCCAATTCCCGTTTGAGTTTGCACACGTAACTGACTGTCATCTCTTTTTCTCTCCCAGCGTTCCAAACCATGTCCACGCCTTCTGGCCAACCAGCGCCGAATACGGTCTCTTGCCGATTTGTACAATACCCACATTGTCTTAGGACTGGGGACCAAATTGAATGGAACAGGCAACGTACCGGCCTCGAAATATGAAATCCAAAGCTTAGCTCTTGCAAATTTCCATTCAACGTCCTCATCGGCCTGATGTAGGAATATAAACAGTTTCATCAGATTAATGATATTATTTTATTATATATTATGTAGTGTGGACACGGGTGCACGGTAAATTTAAGATTTAAACATTACAAGAAAATAATAATAATAATAATAATAATAATAATAATAATAATAATAATAATAATAATAATAATGTTCACTATTATTAGGCCTATTATTGCTGTCAATTTACTTATCACTATTATTATTATTATTATTATTATTATTATTATTATTATTATTATTATCATTATTATTATTATTATTGCTATTATTGTGTTAGTACAGGTCTACTGCTATTCTTAATATAGTATAATACCATAACATGATGATCACGAATTACTCAAATTATACCTGGATATCTTCAAAGGATGCCGCCATCATGGCGATGAGCATGTTCAACATGACCAAGACCATAGCGAAATGGTACGCGAGAAGTAAGAGCGTTCCAAACCCTTGCGTTATGTCATGTTTATATTCACGTGGTATGTCATAATCACTAGAATCTCCAAGACCAAATAACGCCCACAACAACGACAACATTGTCACTTGAAATCTTCCAAAAATATAGAATGCGTAGATTAATAAAGCAGATAATGCGATGGATGAATATACGTATATATAGGCCTATATCTGTCTCTTATACACATCTAGATGTGTATAAGAGACAGAAGAAAGGGTTTGTAATGTTCAAGCGATACGATTATCAAAATAGTTTAAAAAAATGTACTTCTCTGTGAGCTTATGAAGAATCGAATTCACTTATTACTGTAAGACGGTTTAGAGTTTATCTCTGTATAATGTGCTGCGTATAAATATAAACAAATAGGTGAACGATAGATACAATAGCCAATTTTAGTGACACAGATTTTATAAACGTATCATACATAATCCATCAACAAAAAAGTTGTGTGAAAAAATGTCTCCGGCAGGAGAGGGCGTAAATCAGTTGTTTGCTGAAGTGTATCTGGTTGAATAGAATCTGTGGCAATATTATGCTGGTAGGTCTCTGTGGTCTAGACGTGTGACGCTCGCCTTGTCAGCGAGAAGTTGTAGGTTCGAATCCTGTCAGAAACATTTTTCACATAATTTTTAAGTAACATTTTCCTTGATGGGCTATGCCTAATACGTTTATAACATCATTTGTTCCTAAAATTGAGTTTCTATCATTTGTTAAAATAGAAACACCTTATATGTAATAAGCGTTAATCGTATCAAGCATAGGCCTATCTCTTCTTCTGCCTATAGAAAATGTATCTCTGGCGGGATTTGAACCTGCACCCTCTCGCTATCAAGGCGTATCATACCATTAGACCATAAATACCAATACGATATAGGCACGATGGGATAGGTGCTGACAACAGAACTGTACCATACAATGGGGACGCCAGGGCATTTATCATTGGCATGTTTTTTCTTATATGGCCTTTTAGGCAAGGTGTCGTCCCTAATTGATTTGTATGACAGTAAATTGTCTGCTTTTCTGCTACTGTGTGCGACCTTTTATGCGACATTTTAACCAGGGGCTTACAGTGGTTGGTAAGGTTTTTCGGTGTAAAATATTACAAATTAACAACGAAGTTTGTCAAAATATTTAAAAAACGATATCCGTTTTTATCTACTTACGTATTTTATTATTCTGGTAAAAGGAAATACGCTTTGACAAATAATGAATAGATCGGCTAGGGATTTTTAAAACTTACGAAGTTACTGTTTATATACGAAATGTTTTAAAAACATGCGTACTTACGAAGCAAAGGCTTTTACTGCTCCACTATCTTGGTCTGTAACATCGCCCTTATTTACAGCATAGTAACCATATAAATTGTACGTAGCACAGAAAAACGCAAGAAAAACTACCATGAAGACGATGAGGAACCTTGTGACATCGCCGAGCATTCGGCCTAACGATATCTGCAGAGGTCCTAGGAACTCACTAGCCGGTAAAATGAAAGCTACCCGGGTAAAACTGAGAACATTTGCCATGGCAAACATTGCGTCTGCTATCAACGTGGGATCAGCTGGTTTCCACAGCCTACGATCTGAAATAAAATCACAAAACACACATGCAACAATAAAAGCGAACATTTGTAGCAGGAGAACTATATAATCCATAACATAAAATTAATAATATATTAGGTTTACCCTTATACGTGACTTTCCATATAATATCTGCAACACTGAGTGCTATAACACCTCCCCTCTCACCGTTATCCCTACCATCATCACAGCGTCATCATCACAGCGTCATTATCATCATCATCACATTCATCATCATCATCATCATCATCATCATCACTACCACCAATACTTCATATAATTATTACCGTATATCTAAATGTTCCGACAAAGAACAAAAATGGTTAAGCTTTACTAACAAACTAACATTATCTGAACACTATATCGAATATGATTACAGTTTACTGTATCAAAAATTTAAAATATATTCTGTATATCGAATTCGCCAAACCTGCTGACAAAAAGTAAATATGATCCTTGACATGTGTATTTGGTTCGATGAAAGTAGGACACGAATCGTTGAAGTTGTTGAAGAAAGTTTCTGCACTTGCAGCTTTTTGTAACGCTACTAAGTTCAGCAAAAAGTAACCAATGTACAGGTTCAGCATACAAATATCTAACCAATTCCACACGGATGAAAAGTACCGATTTGAGCCCTCTTGCAAAATCTGCTTTATCTCATTCCAGAAATAACCTGAAAATGTAGATCAGATAACTACTAATAATGATAACAATATTTACTCTTATTATCATACAAATAATTAATGATTTAAAATAATAAATCAGCATAATATCGAAATCATAATTATAACTGTTACCGGTATATCCTTATTGTAATACTAATAATATTAAAAGTCAAAATGACAATAATAATATTCCTAATATTGATATATGATCAATACAAACGTAAATGTACTATATTTTTCCCTCTTTCTGACGTAAACTCACATCAAAATAGCATTTGCAGTACCCTCTGCTAATTGGTGATCGGATTCAACACTAGTCACTAAGCGCAAGCTCGGTAATCTAGCGGTTATGGCACCAGGCTAGTTATCTAGAGCTCGTGGGTTCAATTCCCATCCGAATCACTGTTTTCGTAAGTATTTGGGAAGTACTGAGTCTTCGGTACAATCACATGTGGAAGGGCAAGGCATTACTCATATTATTATTACGATTACTGTATTATTATCATCATCAACATTATCACTATCATTAGGCTTAATAACATTATCATAATGATATTTTCATCATGAAAACAAGCATTTCATAGATTTTACCTAGAATGAAGATAAGTATGACGGTACTTAGTGGCGAAACCTCTGGGACTCGTCTGCGCAAACATCCATTATTACATCCTCCACTGCACAATCCTGACCTAGAAACCATGTCGAATATTAAACAATCTGAGCTACAAAGAGCGTCACAGAGAGTTTTACGTTGACTATCATTACAGCTTTGACTTTGATCATATCTATCTTCAATCAACGTTGAATCAAAAAATAGGAGTAAAATAAAACCAATATATGAAACAGTGTGAAGTATGAATTTCACCATAGGTGTTTTCAGTATCTTGCCCAGCTGAAAAGAAACCACAAGAAACAAATTAATAAAGTTAAGACTAGAAAATGTACCAGAAAGAGTACAGATATTAGCTTTGATATTTGACATTTTAACACCATCACTATTATTTCTGGTGATGTAAAACAATTATTTTTTAAAATATTTAGAATGTTATTGGTATTTAAATTTTCATATATTTGACCTGTTTATTATTATTATTATTATTATTATTATTATTATTATTATTATTATTATTATTATCATCATCATCATCATTACTATTATTATCATTATCATTATTTATTATAATTATTATTATACTATTATTATTATTATTATTATTATTATTCTACTGATGAAGATTGAAGTAACTTGGTCGAGTTCCTAGTCCACATATCAAGCGCCCTGAGCACCTTACATTAGATGGATGTGTGCGATATATAAAACTACACTATTACTATTAATATTAACTCAATCGAACTCGTTTATATTATAGCTTGACACGTTATATCAACAACTTCAATAGTGTCTCTATGTAAGTTGTAAAGGTATACAGTTCGTAGTTCAGCTTTAAATGTGCAGGCAGGCAAAACCGTGGAGGCGTGCTAGTTTTAATTATTATTGTTATTTTTTATCCGGTACCCAGCAAACACAAAACAGTAACAGCTGAAGTTGTAAGCGCGTTGGAGTTGTGCAGCAACATTTGCGAACGCTAATTTGTCACAAATTACGTAATAATCACATATTTACATTTCTATCAAAAGTTTTGAAAACAAAACTGAACGCTATTACAACGTACAATATTTAGCTGGGTATTTACCTTACTGTGCGGAAATATCCAATAAGCAAATATCCAAATAGGCAGACCGAGCGACAGACCAACACTCATCAGGAATCGTATGAATATATTAGCGTCTTTCCAAGTTGACATCAGTTCTCCATAAAATAAAGTCGACAGTTGATGTTGGCAATGCGCATGTGCAACAAACTGGACGTTAAATAGACAACGTTTTTCTTTTAAATTGTATACTTTAGGATTTTATATAATTCTGGCTAGTGGGATTTATTCGGGGTAAACACTAAGAATAACACAAAATAAAATGCCTTGTGCCAACTACCGTATCAAAAGGTTATTTTTTAATATTGTGATAGAGGGCGACATTTTTATGTAAAAAATACTGCATAAGCTAGGCCTACCTGTTTCTGCCTATATGTGATTCCCAACTTAACTCGTCCCAGTCGTTCTCTTTGATCCAAACACCCCTCACCTCCGCTAAGCAGATTGTCAACTTCTTGTGAACTTTGACACATGTCCAGAAGGTCAGATGTGTATTCCTTGCATGTGTCTGATAATTCCTTGTAAACATTCTAACGAAGAAATAGTTCACACGTTTGGTTAGAAGCTAATTTACAGTGGCGTAGCTAGGGGTCAAAGGGTGGGGGAACGTGCCCCGGGCGCCAGGTTTGGGAGAGGGGGCGCTAAAATGGCAGAAAAAAAGAGTAAAAAAAAATAAGTTTTTAGAAAAATACGACGAAATTGATGTTGTTGTCAGGCATGAATATTTTCCAGTTAATAATAAGAATTTGAATGTAGTTGTTTTTATTTATATTGTGATTTTTTTCCAGTCCATTTCGACCGTTTTCTCTTTTTCTTTTATTCTATTCTGTAATGACTACATGCCTAAAGCTCATCCTGTCATATCTCAGAGCCACGATGAAACAAGCGAGATATCTGCTTTGGCACTACTTAGTAGTGAGCGTGATGAAGCAGACAACATTGTTAACTTATTTGTTGATGCAAAAGCAAACAAAATTCAGTTGCGAGTTTAAACAATGTTAAAAATTCAGCAACTTACAAACTCTACTATAAGAGAAATTTAGAGAATAAGAATAATAAGCTGTATGCGTTAAATACAACAGCCTTAAAAATTAGGACGGTAAAGTTGTATACAAAGTTCCGAACATCGTAATGCAGTTTCAATAGTAAGAAACAGGGGTTGTGCGACGGGGGCCCCCCTTCCAAGCCTTCCTTCAGGGATAGCTTCCCCACCACACCCCCCCCCCCCGTCGAGGAGAAAAACCATAATTCGTCGGGAAGAAAAAAATTATATGTATTTTACATATTAGTAGACTCTAAAAACGATTACATCTTCACAGAGAGTTTTACGTTGACTATCATTACAGCTTTGACTTTAGGCTTATATATGGCTGAATGAATGGGTGTATATATATGCATGGGTTAATCCCTTGATTTCTTGCATATTTGCCTGTCCATTGATAACTGATTGGAAAACTATCTACAAACCTTAAATTCCTTTTCTTTGGAGGCGAGAATATCAAGCTCCCTGCATAGGTCAAATGCTGTAAGTATTGGGTCCGAGCTGGTTAACGAGATATATGCAGGACTGGTTAGAGCCTTATACGTGTTAATTCGTGATTTCGAATGTTTCAGTGAATCAAACATTCTCTTATTTTCGCAAGCAACACAGTTACAGCTGCTGAGGTGCGGTGTTTTAATCTTCTCTCCTCTGGCCAAAAATAGTCGAATAATATCAATGTCGTTGTAGTGGGCGGCCAGCATCAGTGGTGTTATGTCATGATCGAACTTTGAATTTTTCCTCACTTGTTCAAAATAATGCGATATCGAGCCAAGTCTGTTCCGATCCTTGCCTCTTTTGAACATAGAATGTTCCAGTATTGACTGCGTAATTCGTAGGTAACCCTTGCTGATGGCAAGCATAAGTGATTCATATACCGTGTTCCATGGTATCTTCTGGGTTTGTCCATGATTAGTGATTACATAGTTGACAATTTCCCAGTGTTCATTTTCTGTTGCAACTTCTAGAATAGATCTGTCTTTATAGTCGTGTAATTGTAATATCCACTCAACCTCTGCTTCGTCGGCGTTCTCGATCGCTTCTTTGAGCGTAATCAAGTCACCCATCTCTGCTGCATGCAATATGTTCTTCGTTTTCTCCTCCTTTTCGATGGAAATGATATCAACACCCTCTCCTGCCTCACTTGTGGTGGATGCAATGGAAGACCCATATAGAATGCGACGCTTCTTCGGCATCTTTGGTTGATTTCAATGCTAAATCAAAGAAATGTTTCTCTGCAAAAATATAACATTACAATTAATGACTTGCAAACACACAGCAGATTTTCAAAGTGAATTCAATAGCATAGAACAATAAAATAACGAAAAAGTACACACAAATAACGTAAACCCAGGCACACATGATTAGCAGATGGTAACAAATTAATCAGCTGCATTCCAAAATATTTATCATATATAACAGAATATGATCTTACGTTCGTTTTACAGTATACTCTACCCGTCTCTGGTGTAATACATCGGAATTGTTGAATGATTACTAATTTGTAACTTACATTGCCTCCATATCATGTGTAGCCTTACAAATATATTTTTTATATACCGTATTTAAGATGGCGGAAACGCCTTTACTTTCATTCTCATAAAAAACGATGATCGAGGACCTGATTGGGCAATATTATCTTCTTGTTAATTCTACAAAAGAAAATTCCTGCACATTCATAGCAAAATCTGGTAAATGTGCTGGTATGTGTCGCAATTTAAGAAATTTAATGGCTAATAGCCGTCTCTTTCTTTCACTTCCTTGAAACATAACTCGGTTTAGGACTTCAGTTTGGTTATTTTTGTTTGTCTTGCGTGGCATTTGACATATATTAACTCTATTTTTACCGTATTACTGGGAAGCTGATCAATTAGTGAATCCCTTAATTACCTTTAGCATATTCTGTGCTAGGATTTCACCGGGAACGTGAGATTAAAAAGCAAACATTTTTACTCCCAGTTCACAACTCTGCATATTTTATTTCATTGAGCAAACAAAGTACAACACTTGCCCTGCCTGTTGGAGGAATTGCCCTGCCGTCGGGGAAATCCTAGCGCCGCCACTGGTAACGATATTGTTATCAATAATTTACCAACGACAGTGATGATTGGTAATGAATCCTAGAATTTTGCCTAGGCTTAATTCTGATTGGATGTTATTTACCTTGTCCAATTTATACATACAGTAACAACCAATCCGAATTTGGAATTGGTTTAAGATTCATGTAACAATAGCCAATACCAACATCCAAACCTCATTTCCAATAATGTTACTCTGCCGGGCAGCACAACATTTTGGTCTAGTCCGCATCATTACCAAACACATATTTACCGTTATATTAAGTTTTATTCCATTTTATTTAATATTAATAATTTCGATTTTGTTTTATGTTCATCATCTAGACGTTTAGTTTTCATGGTTATATTTTTGTAGTAATATATCAGTAGTAGTTCAACTATGCTATAAAAATGAGGAGACCTGGTTAAAGTATTCTCAGGTCATTATTGCCATTTAGTGCTTACATTTATGATCTTGGACATCGTATTTACAACAGTTTTTTTAAATAGTTCATTATTGAGAAAGTATAATAATATTAATGATAGGAAGGTAACGATAATTTTGATGTAATGATAATGATGAGGATGATTCGGATTATGATAATATTTATAATAATATTAGGCCTAATAACAATAATAATAGTAATAGTATAGTAATAATAATAATAATAATAATAATAATAATAATAATAATAATAATAATAATTTTTTCTGGTAGTTTTATAAGATACCAGGATCATTTTGAAAACAGTATATATTCTGTATGTATATTACTGAAATGTTATCCTTGCTAATAAGTTATAAATGAAAAAGAATAACAATAACAATAAATAAATGAGCACCGACAAACTTATTTTCATCATATTTCTCAAATATTCGTGTCAGGTGCTACCTTTGCCAGCCATTTATTACATCTTTAGAGCTAGGTGATGTTTGTACATTTCTGATTTTCTTTTATACATAAAAATGAGCTTCTTAATCCATAATACAAATATTAATAATAGGCCTAGGTGGGGTACCCTAAAAACATGACGATTCGAACCTGCGACCTCTCGCTGTCAAGGTGAGCGTCATAACCATTACAC